TAATGATTAGAAACTAAATTCAACATGGCAGCACAAAGAATAGCACAGAGCAACCACATTTACAGGTCTTAGGTGAAGCCTGATTGGCTATGATCACAATTTGCACATCACCAATGTATGCTGTGCTACCACTAAATGGATACAAAGAATTTCCTAGAAGTTACATTATCAGGGTAGAATAGGAGGGAGCCTTTATTGATGCAAGATGCAGTGTACAAAGGAAGCCACATTTTCTAATCTACCAGTAATTTACAAACATACGGTAAATAGATCTAGACAAGTTATTCTACGTCTATATCCCAACTCATTCGGATACAATGGCGATTCAATCGTTCTATAATAAAGCACACTCCATCCTTTTTCAAGTGTTAATTACTTGAATAATTAATTGATTGTGGAGAAAAAAAAAAAAAACCATGTGTATATAACACATTCAAGTTGTAATGTACTGGTTACATTTAAGGCTGGATACACACTGTTGGGGTGCTTTTAATGCTTGTTAACATGTGTTCTCCCAGATGTTAACGTGTATTGTTTTAAAAGCAACTTACCCAATACATAAAAAAAAGAAAAAAAAAAAAGTGCTACTGGAGGGCAAACAGTGTCATCCCAGCCCAAAGCGTTCCAGGGCAACACTAAAGCCAGGGCCACATAAGAACATAAAGGACCTAGTCATACTTGTCCATTTGGATGTAGTAAAAGGCAGGTTTTTGTTGCATTAAAATGCAATTTTGTCTTTCATGTGTGGCTCTGTATTAAGAAAATTGTCATCAATGGCATTAAAACTACAATTTTTGATGCACAAAGTGCAATGTTACATCTGTGGTGGTAGAAGCTTGGGCCCCTACCCTGCTATACTGTTGATGGGGTTTGTTCTCCTCATTCTTGTATGTTTGAACTTTATATGAAAAAGTGTTCAATAAAAAAAAACATATTGTAAAGAAAAAAAAAAAAGCTCTTTTGTGACCCTTGTCTGAGTTACTGCACACTATGCCTTTCAGTGACATTGCTACATACTTGTTTACTTTGTGACTGCATTTTGTTCTTTAAATGGGAAATACATCACCCATTCATATTTCAGTCTCTTATGCCAAGTCCAAACCTTTTGGTGTGGTCGGCAATTGGCACTGCATCTTCTCATTAAGAATAAAGACATTACATTTTACAACATCGCTATATGAACAAGATGAAGCAACTGCACTGAAATCCATGTGACATAGTACATAACATGATGGACGGGGGAACTTGATGAATGAGAAAAGCAAACAAAATCCAGACTACTTGCAAAGTTAAATCCTGCTATCCAGGGCTTATGGTTGGGAATTTAGTACTTTGGTCCATCAAATCATATCAAGACATTACAAGGACGACTGAGCAAATGCAAAAAGCAGATACTGTTCTTTTGTTCTGGATAGTTCATATATTTCTGTATATCTATTGTTAGTAGGTACGTCTTAAGAACTTGTAATGATTAAATAAAAGTTGCTTTAATATCAGCATTTCCCATATTTATATCAGGTAGGTTCCACCATTACATTTTGTACAGAGTTAGGAGTACAACATACCCAATTAAAATGAGTACCACACAAGAAGAGTGCCAAGGCAGTTTAGATTCTTGAGGTAAAGAAGATCCCTCAAATGCATGCCTTATGCTCATTTGGTGGTTCTACATACAACTCTAGCCTTTGTGTAAACCAAACAAGACAACAGTATACCCAGTGGCAAACACCATACCCAGGAAACCTCTGCTTTATGTGAAAGAGCTATATTAATACCAGTCACAATTATTGGTGTAAAAGTTCCCAAACCAGGACAAAGGTTGGGGAACAAACAGGCCTCCGATGTGTGCAGATTATCTGCAGAAAGATCAGTTTGGATCTTTGATAACCTGTGAATGTCTAGATTCCTGCTTGATACTTATCTATTCAGATATTGCTGGGGCAGGATTAAAAATGCTGTCATTTGAGAACTAGATGAGTGCAAGTATGTGACTCTTACACAACCATTCCTATTGCTCCTGATAGGGCCAGTTGGGAGCCACCTTTGACACCATCAGCTATGGCCACAATTGTGGATGCCCAAAGCGTCATCCAATATGTGTTCAAGCTACCTAATTTTCTCATGTATGGGCAGATTTATTTTTACGTTGTAGTCTGCACAATGTTTAACCATGATTTTTTTTTTTTTTATATGATAGCCGTCAGTGCCTGCACATCCATTCAGTGTTCTTCTAGAGCAGGGGCGCCCACAATTTTTAGTCTGGAGATCTACTTTTCAAATGACGAGCTCAATGAGATCTACCAGCAAAAAAACACCATTATTTAGAGAACAAGCGCATTAAAATCGCTACTGGGACTACTACCTCTCTTGCACGCTCTCTCTGGGTCGGTTCACACCACAAAGTCTGTGCTCCAGAGCATTTGGCCTCTGGAACGCAAGCCTGCCCCACGGTGGGAGGGGGCGTGGCAGTGCATTGAAGTCAATGGCACCAAAGCCACGCCCCCCGCTGTGCGATCGCTGGCACCCAGAACTGCAAGCACTATTTTGGCAGATCGCGCTGTACCGGAATACAGGCACTAATGTGCTTGAGTCACGGGTGCGGCAGATTGCATGGCGGGCGTGGCTGCGCTGCCTTTGACTTCAATGCACCACCACGCCCCTGAAGGCAGGGAGCCGGCCTGCGTTCGAGGCCGAACACTCTGGAACGCAGACTTTGTGGTATGAACTGACCCGCCTCTCTGCTCTCTTTTCTGATGTGCGCTCCAGCAGGTTTCTGTGTCTCCTCTGAGGTGCGGTGTCCTGTCCTCCCGCGGTGCTCGTGTGGCCGAATGTGCATACTGGGAGAGGTGTCCCGCCCCTTCCCGTCTGCAGCGTCCGACTAATTCAGCCACACGAGCACTGCAGGATGACAAGACACAGGTCAGTGAGCCGATCGCGATCTACTAGTGTTCGGTTTGCGATCGACTAGTAGATCGCGATCTACCTAATGGGCACCCCTGCTCTAGATGGTCTCCAGGAGCCTAAAATCCACAGTGCTGTTATATAAACAGCTACCATACATCACCATCACAGAAGCCTCATTGGCTATTAGAGAGGTGTGAGAGTGGGCTAGCCCAGACTCTTGACCAAGGGAGTCCCCATCCCTATCTGCATAACATGGCACATTGTGTTAAGGGGTCCTGTGGAACTCTTGAAGTAACAGAACCAAATGTAATTGGTATATCATGAAAGTTGGAGTGTCCCAGGAGTAGCACGGACTTCAAAAAAAAAAAAAAATTAAAACATGTATTGAACTAAAACACCCTCCCTATGTAATGGAGATGAGAAGAGGGAGGTTGTCACATTAGGTCAGGAGTTGCTGAAAGAATTATCAAGTGAAAATAAAGGATAAGCCTGAAAAGAGAAAACTACATTTAGACCATTTATCTAAGAACAGGTAACGGCAATATCTTACATTTTTGTTTTCGTGTTTAGATGCACTTTCAAATCCCCTTTACACAAGCTAATCTGTCATTTAGACTTGTTGGTCCTTTAAAAAGGGAATCAGCAAGAAATTCCAGAAAACCATGATTACAGTAGTGGTGGAGCATGTAATGAGTAAATTAAATGGATAGCACTCCCTTTACCATAAATCAGAAAATCTAAGTTTGAGCAAAGTACAGATCATGTGGGTATGTACCTCAATTTTTGCAGATGTTTCCCAACAACCAAGAGTCATATTTAACAACCATGGAGAAATAAAGTGTTTCCTGTACTGTCAAGCTTAAAGGTTTAATTGGAACAAAACGGAGGTGATTTACAGACTACACTCACCACCCCCTCACTCCTGCAATCTCATCTTGCAAGATGATTAAGATCCACATTATGTGCTCAGGAGCTTAGAAATGCATAAACAGTGCCACTAACACAAATGTATGTGTGCTTTAAGCAAGCATGCCATTGTTTATAGGATGAACTCGTTGGACAGGTGTCTTTTTTTCAACCTGACTATGTAACTATGTCATCAAGCAGGTTCCAAAGACAAATAAAAAAGGTACCCACAGACGTTGGCCGATTCAGATATCCGTATGAAAGGATGACAATCGCAGTGTTTATGGGTACCTTCAAATATGAGCAGGCACCTCTGGCCATTTCTCAGAGAAAAACTGGCTAATTTGGCATTTCCAGACTATTGTCAATCTCTGAGATTAGGACAACACCAGGTGTGTCTGCTCAGGGCACAAGTACCCATGCCTGAGAGACTATTGCTTATTTGACTACTCATCTGTCTGGCACTAACACGATACTAAGCTGAATTGTTAATACAAAGTCAGGATGTTCTGTCTTCTATGACTGACTTGGAAAACCTTATGTTCCATGTGGAAGTACAAGAATATTATGCAGAAACTGAATGTTTATTGGTAGACTTGAAATATTTGAAAACCTTCAGAACACTTGGTATATCTGTTTCACACTGTGAAAAGTTAAACAACTACAAGGCTAAAAGAGCAAGATGTGAAACTACCATAGCTGTGTTAAATATTGCTATTTTATGCACCTCAGGATCTCTGGACTTAACGTTACACACAAAATCTTTTAAGAAAGGATCATGAGATTGCTCTGCATGATACAAGTGAAAAAACATTGTATATGTATTAAGCACAAACAATGGGCATAAAATAAGCAGTTAGTATAAACCAACACGCTACATAGTACTCTTGACTACCCTTGTTAAGAAAACAAACAAACAAATCATGTACAACTTGGAGTATTGGTAAAGCCACCAAGTGTTCATACTCTGCTCCTTATACTCCAAGGACTTCAGCGGCAATTTCCCATAGCCAGATCACGTCCTGAAAACGCGTCACGCTGGAATGTAGCTTAACTGCGTTTGTAGCTGCGTTTTTCTCGACTGTGGGTGTGAAGATAATAAGGAGGGAGTAGGCAGAGGAAGAAATGTTAACAGGTTAAGAAGACAAAGATTCCATTATTTTGATTCAAAAACCACTGATGTGTTTTTCTTTTTTTTATTTTTAATCAAGCTTCCCCCTTGTGACTCACCTATCTGGTATTTAGAGAGCAATAGGATGATCTAGATGGGCTTCTTTGGAGAGCAAAAAGCAGGACAGTTTTTAGGCTCCTTTGGTTCTGGTATTGTTTACAAGGATTTGAAGATTCAAGGACACCACCTCATCACCGAACTGAAGGTTCCATTGTAGGCTCTTAAGAACGTAAGCATCTTGAAAAGATAAGAGATTGTCACCTACGTTTTTCTACAACCAATTAACCGGGGGTGTTGGTGAACCACAGCCTTTATTAATTGTGATTACAGATAGTTTACTTACAAACTGACTACATCCAAGCCCAAACCAGGCTTCACTGGGGACATGTATGAAAACCACTGCCACAACTTCAAAAAGTATCTGAACAGCTTTTAGTATCTTGGTGGGTAGTAAGGACGTTTTGGGGAAAAAAATTGCTGGCCCCTTCCAAAAGGTGGCCGTGGTCGTTTTAGGTTGTGGTAAGGTTCCCTAGGCCTGAAGTGAGGTCGATGTGGCCTTGGACCACCAGTGTTCATGAAGTCTCTATGATGTGAGCCAATAGGCTGTTGAGAACCAGCAAAATTTCCATGATGATCTCTAGGGAGAGGGGCCATAGGTTCATTTACCCTGCTAAAGGTCTGGTTGTGTTGACTACTGTAGTCATGTGACATAGGTCCTTGATCCCTTGAATGCATTGAGTAGGCTTCCTGCATCATTCCCTGGTGAACACCATGGTCCTGTGAAAATGGGCTACGCATATCTAAACGAGGAGGTGGAGAAAACGGCATGCCACCGTGTTCTGCTGTGTGATGAAGAGGGAAAGGATTGCTCACATGATCCGTAGGTGGCGGGTGAGCAATATGAGGCAATGTTTGAGGCGGCTCCATAGGGGGCATTTGGGGTGCAACAGGGATGTCTCTACCAAAAAGACTTCCTGGGTCAGGTGGCAAAACAGATGGGGGCACAGGAGGTGGCCCAGTTTGATCCATTTGAAATGGCCCACCACGATCTAATGGAGGACCCATTGGTGGCAGTAACCGATGTTCGAAAGGTGAAATATTGTTCGCTCTGAAATCACTGACAGAGTCCGGAAAGCGTGTTAAGTGCTCATCATATTGTGTTTTAAAGCCAACATTACTACTGCCACTGACAGAAGGCTGTCCGTCAGCATTTGACGTGCCATCAAAAGAACTCTCAGTGCTACCCATGTCAAACCAATCAGGTCTCCCTCCATCCATCCCATGCCCTCTACCACCTTTCATTCCAACCCTCATGGACTCCACAGTTTTAATAGGCTCCCCTGACATTCTTATATTGCCCACATTGTGATAACCTAACGTTTCAATAGGAGCTCCCTTTTCCTCTGTACTATCTGGCAAGTCTAGGGAAGAGGATGAGACTCTAGTTTCAATGCGATATTGTTCTTCAGACTGGTCTTCAGAAGACCTTCCAGCATGGCCAAGTCCAGAGATACGAATATCTTCATCTAAACTTGACTGTCCAAACGGATTCTCCTCAGAAGGTCTGCGAGATGCATTCTTCAGCATATTTTTGAACTCCATTGTAGTTGAAACTGCAACACCTAGACCTGATTGTTCAGTGGTTAAAGGTGGTCTTCCAGAAGGAAGATTATTCTTTGGAAGGAAATGTGAGTGTCTATTTTGAACAAGAGTAGGATCTGTATATTTATTTTGTGGCATAGTGGGATGTAACAAAGGGATATTATGGTTAGTGTCAGATGGGTACAAGGAGTCATCTTTGGGAGGAGAAGGTGACCGAGCAGATTCTAGATTATTTCCTCTTATATTATACCCACCATATCTATCTGGAGTTGGTGACAGCGGACCACTGCTTTCACCTGAAATAAAAGGAGGCTGCACAGATGGGGGGAAAGGCTGCATGCTATAGTCTGGGGCCTGACTGTAACTCTGTGTAACAGGTGGATATTCCATTGAGTTTAAATGCATGTTTGATTGCAAACTAGATTTTGACTGCATTTTCTCAAGATTACCAACAGTTGATGGTGAAAGACCAGTAAAATCAAACTCCCGATAGTCTTCGTCTTCATTAAATGATGCATCTGGATAAAAGTTATCCAGAGTGGAATCCACCACTGAAGGTTTTTCCATTATATCGGATGACTGCCGGTATGCGTTTGGAGAACTTCCACCAAGACCAAAAGATCTGTATGATGGCATTGACTGTAGCTTTTGATAGTCACTCTCTTTGTTTAAAGTGGGGGACCTTGAACTGCTGGGTGTAGATGAGCCAGAACTAATGATTTTTGATAACAGAGAAACACTATCAACATTACTTGAAGTAGGCTTGTCCATCATCTCATCCTGCGTAGGTGTTCCACTTCTTTCATCACGTACTGGAGTACCATCTATATTATCTAGTGAAGTGCTAGTGGGTCCACTTTGAAACTCTGATGAGCTCTCAGGCATAGAATTGGAACCTATGCCACTTAGAATAGGAATGTTCAGATCTAAACCACTAAATCCTGGATTTCCTTTCAAGAAATTATGAATTTTCATTTCTAGACTCGATGGTTCTGCCTCTTCAGGCCGTTTAGTTATCTCTGGTGGTCGGTTAATAGGCTTCTCTGCAGATACAGGTGTTTGAGATGAAAAGCCAATGGTACTGGCTGCATGAGTGACACTAGAACTACGTGGGGCAGATGATTTGCTGGTAGGTGTGAGGGAAGTATCTGGATTCAGGTTTGTTGGGGAATAACCAAAGTTTTTAGACACAAAGGGAGGTGTTACAGAGGGGGTAACTCTGTCCTTCACAGCTTGTAAAGCAGTGTTCACTGTTGCAGTGGACGTACTGAGTGTTGCGGATCCACTTGAGAGAGCAGTGCTTCCAGCAACACTTTGAATCAAAGATGATAAACCTGTAAAAAAAAAAAAAAAAGTGAACAACATCCATTACTAGAGGTGCACCGAAATAGAAATTTAAAAACCGAAATTTAAAAAAATGTATATTTATTTTTATTATTAATTAATTTAAATATTTTTCTTTTTTTCTTTACTTTTAGGGGCTTCGGGAAAATATTAGGGGTCTAAAACAGACCCCTGATATTTCCCTTTTAAAATAGAAAAAAAGAGATTGAGAACACAATCTCTTTTTCTGTGTCCCCTGTTATCAATGAACAGGAATCCTCTAGGAGTGTTCCTGTTCATTGATAACATTGTATGGTTACTATAACCACAACTATGAATGAACAGGAGGTGATGTAGATCACTTCCCATTCATTCATAATTGAGGCTATAGTACACATACCATGTCCATTATCTACAAACACTCAGCAATCACTGAGTGTATGTAGCCTGCTCTCCTCTCTGACACGCTGTCACAGGAGGCTGAACGAGCGGAGCAGGGAGGAGAGCTCAGCCTCGTGTGACAGCGCGGCCTGTCTCCGCCCACACACCGCTCAGGCCGGACTGTGATAGGAGGCTGAGTGGTGTGGGAGGAGAGACGCCGGCTGCTCACAGCGCTCTCCTTCTGCAGCGCTCGGCCGGCTGTCACTTTCTCTCCTCTCTCCTCCCCGCTGGGAAAGAAACCTGGGATGCGCCGATGTATCAGCACAAAAATGTCACTTTCGGCATTTAGACAGAATTGCCATTTGCGGACTATATGTTTCAGCGGCCGATATATCGGTGCATCCCTATCCATTAACAATGTTTACCTGAAGTCATATGTGCAGAAACTCTAAAGTGTAGCTATTTTATGTGAACATAGATCAAAACACCAAAAAGTAAACCAAAAATCAAAAACCATGACTTTAACAAATGACAAAACTCTGACTATCGTAGTTGAAATTTGAACCCTAAACTCAAAAAAGGTATAAAAACAAAATGTACTTATTTTGGTTGGGTCAAGCACCCAATGACCTTCTCTCATATCTGCAGGAAAGAACTGAAGGACTAAATATGGCCCAAGCTGTAATTTAAGAACAACTCCAGACAAATATAACCGGCCATGTAGCCAAACCATTTCCAAGTGGTATGTCCACTTATTACTTCATAACCAATTTACTTTAAAACCAAAAAGTCCACTTAATTTATTCTGAGTTTTATACAATTCCTTTACGTCAGATTCATCAGCTTTGCACAATTTCTGTGTAAGAAATCAGGCTCTTAGCACATGACTACACTTTGTTCTCTGAAAACTACAAGTGGTCTTCTGCTATTTGGTGCCATTCAGAACATACAGAAACTGCAAGGATGTAGTGAGTCATAGGCACAGGACAAATGCTAGATTACAAAATCAGAGCCATGGGACAAAGTACACTGTATTCTGCCTGCAAATGTTTATCAAATCAATATTTGTAGTAAGAAATACGCTAAAAAGAATGTTAGTGCACACAAACACAATATAATACCCACATTTCTTTGGTTGCGACAGCTCTGAAGAACCCCTGGGAGCACAGTGATACCTGCTTCACCGATCACAGAGCAGATCAGTAAATAGATAGTCCTCAGTCTGCTCCCGCTCTCCATCCTGACACAGTCTGCTATGGTCCCAGACCCACACACGGGAAAGGGGTGTCTGGGCCAGGGGGAGTGGGGGGTTGGGGTTGGGTCTGGTAAACACAATCGCAGGCTGGTACACAATCGCAAGAGTTTACTTAAAAATAAAAAAAGGCATGGCCTAAAGAGTAGCCAAAATGACAACACTGCTAAACAAAAAGGTGTAGTAGCTACAAGGGCCTTTTTAGTCCTCAGATCAACTTCTGTGTCCTTGTACAGCCTGCAGCCCAGGCAAACAAAGGGCCCCAAATTAGCACTAGGCCCTACCCCTTATCCCTCTATCCAATATCAGAGCCTCAGTGATCAACATAGGTACTAGTACTGGACTGTTGAAGGGTGGTGCAAAGCTCAAAGTAAATTTTATGCCAAATTACTAAAATCTCATAAGCTTCAACATGTTAATGTAATGTCCATATTTTTAAATATGTAGCTTTCATTAAAATAATGCATGGTGATCCTGCTCAAACATTTTCCCTGTTACAGGGCGACTACACACTGTCCACATCTCCAAACTGGGCTCCAGTGTTGTCACACAGGCTTCAAATGGAGATTACAGCTGGCTACACACATTATGCAACCATGGTTCACTGTTATCACCATCAGAAAACCTAACCCGAGAAATGCCATGCAGCCATTGAAGTGCATGTAGACAGAAGTGGCTGCAAGAAAGCGCCCCTGAGATACAACAAAATAAATGAAAAAAAATGTAAATAAAACTATTAAAAAAACAAAACAAAAACACCACAGTGCTTTAGCAAAGCAAACTATATTCAGTCAGAATTTACATCTACTTTAGCCCTCGTTCACACCTCAACGTTTTGTAGCGCGTTCTACGCTCGAAAGCTCTACAAAAAACGCTCAAAAATATAAATCCCATTGTATTCAATGGTCTCGTTCCCACCTTGGCGTATTTCCGCCTATCCCCAACGCGCTACAAAACGGCCCACGCCTGAAAAGGTACTACTTTGGGCCGTTTTGTTGCGCGTTTCCATTGGGATACAGCCAAGTAGCCTTCGGGGTCGTGCAACTTTTTTTTACCGCAAATCGTGTTCATATACAGCAACTGCATATATGCCTGCTTCATGTAAACCAGGGGTAGCCAAACTCCGGCCCTCCAGCTGTGGTGGAACTACAAATCCCATGATGCATCTCTCTCCAGGAGTCATGACTCTTGGAGAGAGATGCATCATGGGATTTGTAGTTCCACCACAGCTGGAGGGCTGGAGTTCGCTACCCTTGATGTAAACTTTTTTTTTTTTTAAATACCTCCACAAAAAGTTTAAAAGGGTACCTGCAGGCACCATAACTTTGGAGCCTGCTCTTCAGGTTACTTTTAAACACGAAAACAAATACATTTGTCAGGTAAATACTAACCTAGTGTGCGCCAGACATAAGAAACATGCCTTTTGCCGATTTAGTGTCAGCACTTCTAGTCTGCTGTAGCCATTTGAGAAAATGTTAAGCTATTGTCAAACCTATGCAAATACAAATCATCACAAATCAGGCAGGCTTACTTTACCTTGCAAATTTGGCGCCGAAGAAACCTGCGTTTTAGACAAAACAGAAAGAATGCTTTCAGGAGTAATCTCGACTTTTGAGAAGATGTTGGCCAAGGGGTTTGGTGTGGACTGATTGGGATGCTTTACAGCGCCAGTCAAGTTTGTATTAGGAGTTGTTGGAGTACCAGGGGAAGGCTTCGCTGCAGGACTGACTACATTAGAAAAAACAAAAAATAAAACAAACAAAATGTTATATACTATACAGCATGCACCGTGTTTCCAATATGAAAAGAGGAAAAACAAGAAGGCTAACAATAGATTGGTCACATGATCAAGAGTGCATTAAGCTATGCATAAGTGGGAGGCATATGGGGGTTTTTTGTTAGGAAACATCCAAAACGTTGACATCTCAAACCTATGAAACATACAGACACCCCAATCCCATATCTGCAGATTTCCAACAATTGAACACTCACCAGTAGTTTTCATGGCAGACGTTAAGCTACTTAGGATGGAACTGATCTTCCCTAGGTCTACATTAGCCAAACTTGGCAATGCAAGGGGAATCGATTGAGGTATGACAGGAGTGGTTACAGATTTAGAGGGAGTGACGGTTGCTGGGGATGTAGCCAGATTCATAGTGGAGGTTGTAAGGGGCGCTGGAGCATTGACTGTGGTGGGAGCAGGAGTTGAGACGGATAGAGGAACAGGAGTTGTGACATCAGAGGATTGTGGAGAAGCAGAAGCGACTGTGTCTTTGAGAGATGATGTAGAAGGTTCTGTTTGGTCCTTCCTTTCTTCAACTACAAGCAAAACAAAAACAAAAATTAACTCAATGATTTGCCTTTACTGTCATCCAAACATGGACTCAACCTTCATCTAACCTCAACAAGTCTCACATTTGTGCAACTAATTAGGTTTTAAGTATTTGTGATAAAACAAATTATGCAATGCTTATACCATGGATTCAAGGAACCCCATATATCCTAAACAGAATAGAAAAATCCCCTTACTCCATGTTTTCTTAGAACATGTTTATGCAGTCCTATAGAAACACTGCATCACTGTTCTCAAATCACACACATACCCCCATCAGAAGTCATAATGACCTAATTGTATTGAGGAACAGAAAACACCAACACCACAATGGAGAGAGAAAATACAATCGCTATATAGACTGGGCAGTAATGAGAGTTCAAAAGGACAGAAGTCAGTGCTAACGACTGAGCAACTATGCTGCCGGCAAAGTGCAAGGCATCCACGTGAACAAACCACTTACGGATAATCGTAGGCATATCATCGTCTGCGTCCACATCAGATAGCTCCATATCTTCCTCAACGCGATTGTCGATGGGAGGTTCAGGAGATTCAACTGGTATAGGCTCAACCTCTGGAGACAAAGGGCTTTCATCTCCCATGCCCGGGAAAGGAGACTCTGAACCAGTTGGCGAAGGCGCATCAACGGCAGGAGATGGTACAGGAGACTCCTCGGGATCAGGAAGAGTGGCTTTTAGTTGGTCAAGCTTCTTTTTCAGATTGTTTACTCTATTAGCAAATGTTTTATAGGCCTAGAAAAATATAAAGAAATCGAGGAAAAGAATAAGAAAGCAGCATCTGATAATCTTACAGGATTCATCAACATTAACCATACTTGTTCACTAACAGTGAAAACCAAATCCATCAGGTCAACATGAACAATATCGGGGGGAAAAAAACACAAGACATTTCAGACCAAAGACCTTATTGTACATAGTTAACTCACATGTGTGTACATTGTAAGCTTCTAGCAAATGAACCACCTACAAATTGTTTTTCCAGAAGCCATTTAAAATTTGTCATACAAACTGCATGGAGAGGTAAATCATCTCCAATAACAGCCTTGGAATAAGGAATTTAGCAATCAGATAATATAAACTCTTAAACAAAGTCAACAAGGTTAATAATAAAAAGGTACACTGAAATGTACATTTTAAAACCCAAACGAAAAAAAAAAAAAAAAAAAAGGTCGGGCTGAAACCGGGAATTTTTTTTTTACTTTTTCAAATATTTTATTTTTATTCATTTTGTTTTATATTTTTTACTTTTAGGGGCTTCGGGTAAATATTAGAGGTCTAAAACAGACCCCTGATATTTCAATTTTCAAATAGAAAAAAAGAGATCGAGAACACAAAGTCCTCAATCTCTTTCTGCAGCCCCCGTTATAAATGAACAGGAATCCTCTATGCTGAGTGTTCCTGTTCATTGATAACATGAGGACAGAGTATGTTTACTAAGTTTACAATCATGAATGGACAGGAGGTGATGTAGATCACTTACCATTCATTCATAATTGAGGATATAGTAAACATACTCTGTCCTAAATTATTTACACTCTGAACTGTGGGAGGAATTTATCAAAACTGGAGCAGACAAAATCTGGAGCAGTTGCCCATGGGAACCAATCAGCATCTCTCTTCAGTTTGCTCAGGTAACATTTGAAAATGAAACTGAGAAGCTGATTGGTTGCCCTGAAAATTTGCTCCAATTTTGTCTGCTCCAGCATTGATAAACTCCCCAAACTGAGTGTTTGTACTTTCTCTGCTTCCTGACACTCCTTCACAAGAGGCCAGCGTTGCAGGGAGGAGAGCTTGATCTGACAGCTCACTACTCCCCCGCACTGCTGGCCAGCCTACTGTGACAGTGCTGGCTGTCTTCACCCACATAGCCGCTCCCCTCTGATCTGACAGGAGGCTGAGCGGTGCGGCGAGGAGACACACACGTCGGCTGCTCACAGCGCTCGGCCGCATTTGACCGTTTCTCTCCTCCCTGCTGGGACACATGGTATATATATTTCTCTTAATCCACTGCAAGAATTTCACGGAGTATAAACTTTTACGGTATATAACTAATCAATTATTTTTTCACGGTATATTATCCATCCAATTTTTTTTTATTATATATTCACTTAAACCATAAGGATTTGTTTATATTCTCATTTATGACACGGTTTATTTAGTTCAGTATATTTTTTCACCCTTAGCGCTGTTAATATTTTTAAACATTCAAGGTTCTCCTTTTCCCATAGCAGCTTTGGGGTTAATAGTTTTTAGCTGTTTGCAGGAGCGCAGACTTTTGGTTATACAGCATTGTTGGCTCTACCTGCCAATATACAAAGCTCTGCCAATTTTGGGTGTGATAGTTTTCTGCCATTTCGCCGGCACGCACAATTTTAAAGCTTGACATGTTTGGTGTCCATTTACCCGACATGACCCCGTCTTTTATATTTTACCAGAAAATTGGGGGATGATAAATGTTTCATAACATTTCATAGGGAAACAGGTTTTTTTTTGTGCAAAGTTTAGGGTGCTTTTTTGTTTTCTAGTAAAAAATAAAAACCCCAGTGGTGATTAAATACCACCAAAAGAAAGCTCTACCCATCCCCAAAAAATGGTATAAAATTAATTCCAGAACAGTGTTGTATGACGGAATACATGTCAGTCAAAGTAACGCAGCGCTGAATACAGAAAAATGGCCTGGCCAGGAAGGGGGTGTAACACCACGGTTATCAAGTGGTTACGTCATGTTTTAAAACTTTCTTCTCAGTGTAGTTGATAAAAGGGATACATACGTTTACCACAACTTTGACTTCCCGATACTGAGCTTCATAGAATATCCCTGCATTTTCCAGGGCTTCGGTTATTGTTGGACCACTCTTCACCTGCTTGTCAAGGAGACCTACAAATTCTTCAAGTTTGGAACTTGCCTCTTCAAAGTCTTTTGAGAACTTTTTTCCTCCAGCTTTATCTTAAATGAAATGACAGGGAATAGATAATCATGTCAGTAAGTGGCAAGCACACTGCAACAGGATTACATTACCGTATGGCAGAGGGGAGACAAAATACCTTTTAAGCGTTTTAAGGTCTCTGTGCTGCAAACATCCACTCTCATGTTTGATAGCTGCTTTTCCTTAAAGTCGGTATGATCCACTCCACGTTTGTATGTCAACAAGTCATCAATCAGACCTTGGGGCTTTTGGGAAAAGCAAAGTTTAAAAATTAGTTACAAACCTTTGGTATTTAGAATTTTGACCATAATCCCTAGCACAGAGAAAGCCAAAAGAGTGCATGCGGTCATCCAATTGAGCTGTACTGGACAATGGCGTCATTTTCAGGTAACAAGAAAAGAAAGCATTTAGACAGCTTACAGGAGGCAAGGAAAAGGAAGACCCTCAGCTATGCAGAGTTCCAACATTTCTTTTTCTAAAGTGCATCTGACACCAAGATGCGTTTATGTAGAATCTAACAGTATTATCAACCAACAACCATGCAGCACAGCAGGCATGTGCCAAACCCTAAAAAAATAGGACAGCATTGCATATATATGGCAAATAAAGTAGTTAGCGCACGTATTTAACTGTTCCACATTAAGGCTGGGTTCACACCTAGGCGACAGCATTTTTGTGCGTTTCTATGCACTTTTTTTGCACATAAATCAGAATTGCTGGTTTTTGTGAGCAGATTGTATCGCGTTGATGTGAATGAGCAAATGCGCATAAACACAGCACACATGCGGTTTCAAGCGTTTCCTAATGAGTCTATGGAGCCAAAACGAGCTGTAATATGCCAAAAAAAAAAAAGCTCATGTTACTTTTTCCAGCGACAGGCGTTGGGCTTATTGCGACAAAACGCTTATGATGTGAACAGGGCCATAGAAATGAATGGGATTTTTCTTTGTACATTTGAGACTACAAAACGATGTGTGAACCAGGCCTAAAGCCCCCTATGTCTTCTGGTCAGTCACATAATATGCAGGCTCCTCCTCTTTTCCCAGCCTTCTCCAGTAAATGGGCAGCCTTTGGAGATGCGGAGAGCACAACTCTCTGTATGGATACGCTATGAATGGGGGGGGCACCTCAGAAGGCTTATTTAAAATAAAAATAAAAAGTGGCCTTTAAACCCCATTCTCCCATCTCTTTAAATTAAATGTAGACTATATCCAGGATATAAGAAATCATACATAAATGGCGAGATGTAGAATCTGTCAGCACGTTTAGGATCTAATCATTGGAAGAACAAAAGTCAACTATTGACAACTTATTTTACTCTTACCCTGAATTCAGCTACGATCTTTGACTTCAGTACAGCTTTAGGAGTCGCTTTAGGAGCTGCTTTTGGAGTCACTTTAGGAGTCACTTTTGGAGCCGCTTTTGGAGCCGCCACTGGGGCTGGAAAATAAAATATGGTGATTCCTAGTAATCTGCATCGGCAACATTATTTCTCAATAAAACATTTCCAAAAGGGAAATACTTTTTTTTTTTTATCAACTGGAAACGACTACTGCATTAAGGCATTATACATATAACCAGATGTTCTGCTGCCAAACATAGGATATGAAAGGGCCAGAATCAATCTTGCATGGTGGTGAAGCACTACAGGACAGCACATTAAAGCAACAATACCAACTGAAAGAAGAAAGTTCCATATACAAGCACTTAAATATAACCTAAACCTGTCAAATGCTACAGAAATTTAAGCTGGTCATACACGGCCTAAAATCAGCCCTGTCATCATCAAACTAAATAAAAGTCTGTATCAGAATGGACTAAGCCAGTGGAATACTCTCAGATGAACCTTGACATCAGTATTCAGACAGCTGCAGGGTGTCATGGCTGTCTAAATACATTTCCTGGCAGTGCAGATTGCTCGATCCATGCTGTTTAGTAAGGATGGGGGAATCCATTGATTTAATCTGTGTGTATGACTAGAATTAGTTAAGCTGTCACAATCAGATCCTCTTACTGATAATCAGTAAGAATACATTTTTTAAGTAAACAAAACCAGTACAGTACGGTATCTTACCATCAGGCGGTTTCTCAGGTCTTGGGCACGAACTCTTACTTCGCTCCCGCTCTCGTTCGCGTTCTCGTTTATTCCATCCTCCACCTGTGGTAAGAAAAGGCAAATTTTCCATTTAGTGTGTCACATCGAGCTGCACCACTTTAGGGCTCATTCAGATTCCGGAAAAGACAGGTGCCGTCTGCGTCCACCCAGAAGCTTACAGATATGCAGGTTAGGGTGTGCATGTAAATGTGTGCAGCCGCATCCTCCCATAGGGAAGAACAGGCTGCTGTGTGCAATTACACACAGCACCTATCCTTTCCGGGATTGGGCAATTTTTATAGGTGTGCACGCTGTACGGATGCGTACATCTACCCGAATGAGCCCTTAAAAGAAAAAAAAAAGACCCCAGAAGACCTGCTGGTGCAACCATGCAGTGCTGGTTTAGCACTTACCCCAAGTGCATGGGTATATACGGCATCTAGTGAATCCAGCCGTTTAGTCTTGGATCACTGCTCCCTATTAGACCACGGTTGTTCCTCTACTCCCCCCAAGCCATATTGTACTATTGCAACGCAAGTCTGACATCACAGACCTTTAATAAAGCCACTCAGGGGAAGTAGCCTTACTTCTAGTTAATGAATCCATAACCAGGTCACAGAACATCCAATAAATCAGCAAGTCTCCATTCATACTGGAAACTAATGAGTACATTCAACATGTTTGATGTTGCAGCTGAACAACAATAAAGCTGAAAATTCTGTAAGGAAGTCTAACCTAAATGCATAAAAAACACCCAATTACACCATTGAACAATGTCCATCCTCTATCAAAATATTAGCAAGTCAAAATCTATTTATGGAAAAAGCTTCTCCTCCTAAATAGAGGAATTCATTATAAAAATTAAATTAAATTGGGGACTGACCTGAAAATGGCAACTGCCTTCCTGTCACACCAATCTAATGTATTTAATATTTTCTGAATCATAAAGCCACAGGGGAGAATTGTCCTCTGGTCCATTGCTCATAGGTTATGCTGAGCTGGTGACCTCCAGTGGAGATTCTTCACTGATGAGACCTCAAAGTGGGATCTGCAGTCAGTGATATCTGGTGAGCATTATCATTATCTCCAAGACCCCTGTCACCTAGGGACCCCCAGAGAAGCTGATTAAGCAGAGATCTGCTTCACCAGCTTCTCCGGTGTTCTGTACCGAAGATTGACACTGAATTCTGGGACAGAGAAGAGATCAAAGGGAGATCGTGTACTGATCTCCACTGACAGTGTCGCAGTGCTGGTCCCAGCCGCACCGGGCACAGCGGATCTCGGGATTGGCAGCGCTGGCGGAGGTACGGGGTTCAGGCGTAAGGGCGCACACCTGCTTGCTGCTTACATTGCTAACAGTTCCCCACTCGTGTGCATGCTGAGCGACGAGCAGGGGGAGGGGCAGGACATCTTAAGATGCCCACCCACTCCTACAAGACTCCCATGTTTAAGACCTTCCCCTTCTTCAGGGCTTAAACATGATGGGTAGTATTATGAACAGACACAAATCAGCAGGAACTACTTGCTGCGCAGGGCATCGCCATCAATGAATCAGCTACGTCTATGCAGGCTGACACAAGCTGAATAGCTGAGCAACTCATTACTCCCCACTCATTCAGGAGGAGTAGAAAAGTCCTCCCTGATGTCTCATTGGTAGAGAGACCCAAATAAACATAGCATAGGGGGCAGCATAGATGAATTCTAGTCCGGACTCTCCCATCACTAATGCTGCTGTTAGGCAGGAGACCGTACACCTGGATTGTGAACAGGAGACTCGTCAAGTCACACGTCAGTAATACACAATGATGATGCCGACTCTATACCAGCAGGTCTAAGGGCGGCTCTACACATTTCTACACATCACAATGACACACCAGAGCAGTAACAAAGCTGTAGTAACGGTCTAGAAGTTCCTAAAAAGAAAAAGCCCCTCTGAAATCAGATGATACTTACCCAGGGCAGTTTTTAATGCTGCAATAGTGTCCTCAGGATACACACTCCTTTCTTCCCAAATCTTAACGACTCTCTCTACAGATTTCACCACAGAAGGGTCCCTTTGGAAGCAAAAAAAGTACATGAGAATTTTAGGCCAACATTAATGATTATGCTAGAGATTACATTTGATGAGCTACAAATTATAAAATGCTAAAAACAAAAAACAAAAAAAAGACAAAATCTTTTCACTGTGACTCGCTTCAGATATATTTTTCCATGTTAAGATCATGCATGCTTAAGGTGGTCATCCACCCAGAGCCGACATTAGATTCTGGCAGTTGCTAGATCAGGGGTAGGCAACCGCAGCACCCCAGCTGTGGGGAAACTCTGGATGCCATGCCCATGGTTGTCATCAGTTTTGCAATGCCTCATGGGACTTGTAGTTCCATTACAGCTGGAGGGCCTAGGTTGCCTTCTCGTGCTAGATAGTTAAACCATCCGAGAGCTGAGATGCCATGCCCATGGTGTATACCTCAGTATACCGCTGTAGCTCGCGGTATACTGAGCATTGGGTGACGGGAGGACACTAGTCCTCCCGTTACCCTTAGGAGAACTATGGGGAAAAGCCATTACCCCAATGGCTTTTCCTTTAAAGTGACACTAAAAGCAGGAGTTAAATCTTAAAAATGATATTCAAGTACTATAACCATCTCTAAATTAATGCCGACACTGGCCTTCCTTCTGGAGGGTGGCTACCTATGTTCCCCATGGTCCGTGTGTGTTGTAAAGTAGTCACCGCTCCAAGCTCCCATGATGGACTACAACCTCACGTTTAGGAATATTATCTGTATTGAGACTGTAGATTGAATTGTCCTGGCCGTTAGTCAACAGAGGACATGTAGGGGACAGGGACATTTTGAAGATGAATATTCCAGCAAAGACTGCTCTGGTTATTTTACCTTTACATGGGTGATTTTTGGCCCCAGGTTCTTCTTCAACACCCACACAGTAAATAATCACTTACCTTACTAGAGACGCAGCTTCTGGAAGCACATCAGCAAAACTATCACGATAGACAATTGCATTCCTCCTTTTGCAGTTCTGGATAATATCATTTGCCAAGTAAAACAGGTTCAGTCGGTGTGGAAACCCAGCTGTGAGGGAGGAAAGAAAAGTCAAACATCAAGGACTGAAATGAAAATGGTGTAAAGAATTCCATTTTGTTTTTCTATCTTCCAGTGAGCTGCCAGATATAGTGCTGCTGTGCATTGCATTAGTGATGGGTGTGTTGTACTTATACTCACCTTCATACAAGGCACCATCCAGTGACACCCTGCCGTGATTCCTTTCCCAGAATGCTATTGCCGAGCACCGGCTGTACCCCCAAAACCCAGGTGCCCAGCTTTTACCACATTGAGGAATGCCACTTGCGCTTTGTAAAAGCCAAAATGGGTCACCTCCCCATAGGCTGATGAGGTCTGGTACTGCATTGTCAGATGGCAAGGCGAGCCACAACACTTTTGTGAAAGTCCAAATTGACATACTGAGGACATCCAGGTTTAAACATTTTGGAGAAGGAAGTGCATGGAATGGACTTGGGTGGTGACTAGTATTTGCTGTACAGGCATAGAGAATAGATTTTAAAAAAGGGCCTATTTACACCTCCGACATGTTCACATGCGACACCCTTCACCCATAAGGAAGACGCATTCATTCAAAAGATAAAATAGACATATTAAACAATAGACGAGATCTGTGTCTTAAAAGAACATCCACTAATGTCCCAAAGAATGAATAGTACTTTCATCTTAAAAAGGGAATCTAAAAATCTATTACTATATTCTATTTCTATAAGTTCTATCCCACTTCTAAATATCTTATCCATAGAAGGTTGTAAACGTATTGATGATGCCCGTAAGATGTTGTTCCTCAATACAGTGACACAATTTGACCCAGCCCTATGAAAATGCACTTCCTTATGTCACAACTCAGTCTGCATTCTGAACTACAACGCAGTGTCTGAACAATAAGATTACTGCTTGCTCGAAGCAATGCATGATGGGATATGTAGTCTTCAGAAAGTGAGAGCAAAAAACAGCAGGTAAACAGGCAAAGCACCCTGGGAACCCAGGAAGTTGTTAAAAGTGATGGGCAGACGGAACGCAGCACTCACTACATATCAGGGAAAGTAAGCTTTGATTGCATGATCAGAAACTCCTCTAGTATGTATTCTGATTACAATGCTGATGTTATAACAGGAGAGGACATGCTGGGAATTTACAACTCCTTTAAAGTATTGATATCCAAAACCTTTTTTGGATAGAGGGCGGAAGGTTAGAATCCCAATCAGGCTACTGACATCTAGAGCTCTGTTAGAAATTTCTGGGGACAAACTTTTGACAGGAAGTGAGGGGAAATCTGCAACAGGCAAATAGAAAAAAAATGTAGATTTTGGTATTCATTCGTTAGCAATACTAACTGGCCAAATGTCGATCGACAGAACGGATTTTAGTTTGCGCCTATGCATTGTTCATGTTGAGATTTTTTTTTTGTACAAAAACGTCCCCAATCCATCAATTTTTGAAAAAAAGTTTTCTAGCCTAACCGATCAGGAAATTCGTTCAGAAGTACAGTCATTCTGATTGTTTGCTTCCCATCAACTGGATAATTATCGTACTAAAACCCGATCACGTTCAATTTTCGAACAATAAAATGCAAGGCGTATGGGCAACTTAAAAAGCATTATTAGTTTGCATGTTCTCCCTCTGCTTGTGTGAGTTTCCTCTGGTGTACTCCGGTTCCCTCCCACACTCCAAACACATGATGGAAGGTTAATTGGCTCCTGTATAAATTGGTCCTAGTATGTATGCATGAATGTATGCATGAATGTATGCATGAATGTGAGATAGAGACCTTAGATCGTAAGCTTCTTGAGGGAAGGGATTGATGAGAATGTACTGCATGTAAAATGCTTGTGTACTTGCAAGTTGGATATTTCGACCAGACAGCGTTAGACTGCAAAACACAAATACTGATGGAGCTCTGTACGGCTGCATTTTAACAATATTCAGCAGGTGGCAAACACGACGAGTATTCTGAAAACGCTATGCGCGCATGCGCACTGCAACTGTACAGGGCTCTAGTCTTTGAGCACCGGAAGCGAGGTAGATGGAGATCTCGATGAGTTGGAGCTTTCGATAGAACACCGGACAGCAAAAACAAACAGAGGTCCTAAACCTTCCAACTCCTATCCAAGCTAAAAACGTTTTAGCTCTAGATACACTAAAGCTGGGTGTACACGGTTAGAATTTCAGTTTTCTGAACATTTGTTTCATCTCCTAATAGTTAATGGGGCCAAAACAACGGTCGATTAGGATTGTAGTGAGGAAAAACATTGAAGGAGCGGGTGGGAAATTTCACATGAATGTGGTTTTGCTTCGGGAAACCTCATTACGAAAACTCTACCAGTCTATGGTCAGCTTAGTCGTGTGTGCGTTAGCCGAGACATCTCAAGGACTCTTCTTCAGGGTAGCAATGTTACAGCAGAACTTTATTTTATTTTTTATTAACCCTTGAAGTGAGGCCACCTCTGCATTGCAAGGGTTAACTGCTCATTTATGTCTAGGTTAAAAAAAAACCCACAAAAGATATACTGGTCCAAAGCTCTGAGCCAGCTTCTTCTTAGACTGGTCCCTGGAATGTCTCCCCCCATCCTCTGCAGCGGTCTAAGGTGCAGTAAATCATCAACATCTATATACAGTGGAATTTATCAAAACTGGAACATACAGGATATAGAGCAATTGTCCAATTGCCTAATTGCTTTAGGTATCAGGCAATTTGATAGCATACCAAACCCTTAGACATGCAATGCAGGCACAGAGGTCCCCATCCTCTTCATTTTAAAGGTCCAGGCACATACAGGAGAAACATTAATGCAGCTCTGCATTCATTATCGTATTCAACGCTCAGCTTTCCAATAAATGAATCTGTAGCCAACAATTATACATTGCCCAGCAAAGTATTCTTTTATATTTTTGTCCAAGCACTTAGTTATGTTCCCGCACAGCCAACTCTCAGCTTGACACACAGCTTACTAGAACACACAAGGGTGGCTCCATAGGATCCTGCAAGGGGAAAGAGCCACCCTAAAACAGGATATCAGGACCAGTGCTCAGGAGACCAGCTGATTCTGCAGGAAACTACAACTTTTAAACATCAAAGAGCAGCATCCATTGTAAGTGATTTAGCCAACATTAGAAATAGCTTAAAACCTTTTGACTTTTATCAGTTTAAATAACCAAGTGTTTTTAATGCAGCCAGTGTAAGTACATTCCTTTTACTTGATATCAGCCTGCTGAAGCTCCTATACTGTCCAATCAGCAGGCCCAGGCTAGGCCCCCTCTGCAGGGCCCAGGCTAGGCCCCTCTGCAGGGCCCAGGCTAGGCCCCTCTGCAGGGCCCAGGCTAGGCCCCTCTGCAGGGCCCAGGCTAGGCACCTCTGCAGGGCCCAGGCTAGGCACCTCTGCAGGGCCCAGTCTCTGTATTCAAAACTCCAGCAGGGAAAGTGGTGTCATCACAGGGCTGTGCTGTGTAAATCTCAGGACCGAATAGAAAGAAATGCAAATCCTTTGGCAAGTAAAACAAATGTATTTCATCATCTGTGTATTTAGTGGATTGCCCGGAGCTCAGTATTAACTCTGCATATGCTTTAGAATTGCTTTACCTCACCTCAACCTGGCATCACAAGGTAAAAGACTTGCAATGTCACTTATAATTGCCTGACATAGAAGCATGGCCAAAAATTATGGTACCCTTCGAAGAAAAAAAAAAAGGACCCCCACAACATTTCAGAGTTAACTAGAAACTGACAAAAATATTTGGCATCCATCATCATTTATTCCAGATTTAATAAACATCAGACTTTGCTTTTGGCTCAATTGAATAGTTTACAAAATAAAAATGGCATGGACAAAAACCGATGGGACCCTCAGCCCAATATTTTGGTGTACAGCCTTTAGAGGCGATTCACTGCAAACAGAGGATTTCTGTACCTCTCAATGAGACATCTGCACCCACCAATAAGTAGTTTGACCCTCTTCACCAATCTGCTTCAGTTGTCTCAGGTTTAACCCTTTTACTGCCAGCAGGCCTCTAATCAGACTCCCAGAGGCTATAGCTACCAGGAGTCTCTTTACCTGTGTAAAGCAGAAGCCGGCAGATGGCTTCCAGGGGGCGTAAACAGAGTGACCCCGCGTCCCCCCCTTCTACACATCCGTTTACCCATCTCCTCCCCAATGAAGCCGGAAGCAACACTGATTGCATCCCTTCCAGCTTCTGAGTGGTCATTCCCTGGCTACAGACGCTGGGGGAAAAGCGCATGAAGCACAATCTGTGCTTCACTGAAGTGCAAAAGTGACCTAAGAGGTCTAACAAACCCCTAAAGCAGGGCAGGACAATTCCCAGAAGCCAATGCTCCCAAAAAATTACAGTTGGCATCCAACTTTGAGGTTCTCTGGTTGTCATTAGAGCCGCTCCTCAAAAAATAACGTGCTGCCACCCCCCTGGATTAGACAGACAGCTTCGTGAATTTCATAATAATTTGGCCACACCTGCCTAAAGTTACTTTAAAGAGAACCCGTTCCTCCTAAAATTAGAGTTTTTTGCTGAAATTTTGGGTTTGATAAAGAGTCGCGCTAAAAATCACAGGACATACAAATTTACAACTGCCGCCACACAAATTTCCATTGGCCAATAAGGCAACCCATTATATGGAGAACCAACAGGATTGTGGGTGGGGCATGGAGTACTGGCCCCGTCACAGAACCGGAAGCATTGAAAGCCAAAACGCCAATAAAAAAATGATCATTTATACACTGCACTGGGTGTGTAGATTATCATTATAAAGCCGAGTGTTCTGTATGGAGGGTGCTACAAACTATACAAATCTTACCTTGCAGCACTCTGGTACTTATGCTGAGCTTCCAGGCACTGCAGGGGTGAGAGATGTGACCCAAGCAGTGAAGCGTTGCGGTCTCATCACCCGCTCATCCTTACTACTTTCCCATTCACAAAATGCCTTGCATCTTTTTCAAAGTACACAAGACAAGCTTATAGCTTCTCCCTGCAGAGAGAAATGACCGTCCTCCCCGCAGGAC